TTTTTTCTTTCAAACCAGTTCTTTACTTCTGCATTTTAATTTTTTTTTTCAAATATTACTTCATATTTTGTATCGGTTATAAATTGAATCTACTGACTGAGAAATTTTGAATCTCAGTTGAATCATTTTTCTTCAGTTTTTGGAACCAAGGAAGTAGCTGTGGTAATCATAAAAGTCACACCTTTAAATGGTATTTGATACATAGAGTTATCCGCTTTATGGTTCTAAAAGTAATCGTTGATAGGTTCAGTTATGTTTAATGCGAGTATCAATACTCACATTCGGAGACAACAGGAAGAGCTATACCAATCATTTTTTATAGATGGTTGCATGTGATATTTTTATTACACTATTTGACTTTCCAGATGAAGTTCACGAGATCTGCTTCGTCTGTAGTACCGAACAGAACTCCTTCAAAAATCCGCTTGTTGTAATGCACCAACGTTGAAACATTGACGTAATAGTATTGAGCCCCATGAATGCTCCAGTAAGTAGTTACTTTCTTGCGAAAGCAGGACATGCCGACAAGAAGCAATTGGTATTTCCACACTTTCTTTTCCCAGAAGAATTTGTGCTGTTGTACCATGTCTTGCTAATTCATCTGCTATACAGTTGCCTTGGATATTCCTATGTCCAGGGACCCAAATAATTCGTATCCAAAAATATGGTATTCAGCCATAACCATAAGTGATGTAAGACAATGCAGTACTGACCTCGAGTTAGTGGTCCACGAGTTTAAGTATTTTATAGCTGCCTGGCTGTCAGTAAATATGTTTATAAAATTAACGGAGGAAATATTATGTTCCAGCCAATCTGAAACTTCCAATATAGCACATACTTCAGCTTGGAAAACGCTGCAATGATCTGGTAGCCTGAAACTCATACTGAGATCTAGTTAAGGGCAGTACACTCCTCCTACTTGTCTATCTAACTTTGAGCCATTTGTAAAGGCGATTATCACTCTTTACAGAGTAGCGTTTCCATGCCTTCCTAGAAGGAATTAATAATTCAAGATTTCTGTTCACAATTGCAGTCGTAGTACAGTAGTCTGTTATATCCGGAATGAAATCAATTTCTCTGAGGATGGAATCTTGCATCCATGCACAACTGCTTCCAATTTCTAGTTCTCTTATCCGTAAAGCTGCCCCAGCTACCTCGCCTTTCGCAGCGATGTCGATAGGTAAAATATTGAAGAAAACATATCTATATGTAAATATATTAATAATTATATACAAATTAATGAATTATTATTTTGTTACGTTTTTATTTTAATATATATGTATCACAAATAATTAACTTTTATACATAATAATTAGTCTAATTTATATCTAGGACAGTCTTTGACTGCTACACATCTTTCAATGAGATGACGACGCAGTTCAAAATTTCTCTAATTTGGGTTCCCAGTCATAGGGACATTTTCGGCAATTGCAAAGTAGACAAGTTAGCGAGACGCGGTGGTTTAGGGACTTTCTTTTTTGAGGATCTTGACCTCCCTCTGAATAGCATTATAAGCTTTGCTAAAGGTTCTAAGTGGTTTCAACTATTGAGTTTTTAATTGTATGGTAACACCTAACCTAACCTATATAAGAATTATGATTTAAAATCAATTCTCCATTCAAGTATCAATAGACAGTTATTTAGTATTTACAGAAGTATGATATATAACATTTTTCAAGTATTTATCATGTACTGAATTTTTTTTTTTGATATATTTTTTTCGATGACTTTTTGGTGCATAGTTAGTTATAGATTGATCATAATTTGGACATCCTGCAAAATTTTCCCTTTAATAAAATCAAAACAGGATGCTCGTAAATCAAAATTTCACTTGTGCTAAGGTTCGCACTTGGGACTTTAGTTTTCAACGTTTAATCCATAGTCAACTCTGCTACCAATCTCCTTTACATCTTGCTATCGATTTCTTTTGTTCCAAGGAAGTGTGATATTTTCATATAAAGAAGGTTATTTCTTTAAACGTACTTAATTAATACATAAAAAATTGACTGTAAAGGAGAGTATATTTCTAATGAAAATATATAATGAAAGGATTAATTTAATTATTATTATTATTTACGTTATGTTGGGATATTTATGCGACCTAAAGATCTATGTACCCCTTATATGAACTACGTGAATTTTTTTAAATTCAATCTGTTTTTTCTAATTTTAAAATTAAAATGTATTCTATCAAATAATGTTGCACCATTTTACAAATTTCAGGCAGGATTATTTACAAGTTTTTTCTTTAAAACAAGATTTTATTATAAGATTTAGAACGGCGTTGTTCCTCTCAGCCTTGCACAAATTTTCAACAGCACCAACAAATTCCAAGCAAGAAGAATCTGTGCTTGTTTATGATATGTTCTGGCTACATTTTTTACTTCCTTTTTCAGCGGAATTATCCTGAGGTCTTAATGGATTTGGGTGTGATATCATGAAGCGTTTATCATTTTTTCCTCTTCCTCTATAAATCTTCCTTTATGGATAGTAGTGTTAAACGTACATTATAAAGTTTTTTTTCTTCATTTGATATGACATGCCCATCTATGTACTTTTTTCATTTATGCTATTGTGCCGGTTAAACATCCAATATGGGTTTAGAGGTTTCATTATCTTTCTTACATAACTGATCAGTTCTAAAGTTTTCAGTTTTCAAGTCTTCAGTGTTTGTACGATGATTTATAAGATAATAGTAATAATAACCTGAAAATAATAATAATAACCTGAAGTGCCCTGTTAGTATTGCTATAACGGTTCTTAAACTTATTTACTTAGTTGCATACACTATTTCAACTTGAATGTCATTATAAAAGCGATTTCGATAGCCCTAATAATTTGTTCCAGTACAACTTTCTTTGTTTTCCTTTTTCTTTCTGAAGCAGTAATGAGTAGCTCCTCCCAAGCCACATAATGGTTTCGGGTCTATAAGCAGCGCTGCTGGCCTTTTCATGGCAAGATTGTCTGAAATTTCGTTGCCGGAAATTCTAGCTTGTTATTTTTTATTTAAGGTATAAGTATACACACCTGTTTATCGCATAACTTTCTGTTTGTAAAATAGTTGTGTTTTTAACTAACGCTTCCGGGTAATTCAACCCCTGCTGATAAATACCGGGGTTTCTCTTTGGTGAGAAAATTGTCAGTATACCAAGTTAAGATTTTTTAGTTTATCTTATAAATTTTTAATATATCAGCCCAACCATTTTTTTTATTAGTTTAATTAATTAATGGTGTTGGAAATATATGCTTTTTTTAATTCATATTATTTATTTTATTTTGTTCAATTTTTTTTAATTTATTTGATATTTTAAATTCATTGATCTTTATGTTCAATGAATATAAAGGGTGAGAAGGGAGGGTCACTCCCTCCCTTTATTTTTCATTATAAAAAAATATTGTACAAATGGTTTAAACCATTGAACATTTTTTTTTAAATATAATTAATTTTATTTTATATTTTTTTTTAATTTATTTGATATTTTAAATTCATTGGTCTCTATGTTCAATTAATGTAAAGGGGGAGAAGGAAGTGACCCTATCGGAATTATTTATTTTTCATTATAAAAAAATATTGTACAAAGAGTTTAAACCATTAAACATTTTTTTTTAAATTTATTTAATTAATTTTATTTTTTATTTTTTTTTAATTTATTTGATATTTTAAATTTATTGATCCTTATGTTCAATTAATATAAAGGGGAAGAAGGGAGTGACGCTATCGGAATTATTTATTTTTCATTATAAAAAAATATTGTACAAATAGTTTAAACCATTGAAAATTTTTTTTTAATTTATTTAATTAATTTTATTTTATATATTTTGTTTTTAATTTATTTGATATTTTAAATTCATTGATCTCTATATTCAATTAATGTAAAGGGGGAGAAGGGAGTGACCCTATCGGAATTATTTATTTTTCATTATAAAAAAATATTGTACAAATGGTTTAAACCATTGAAAATTTTTTTTTAATTTATTTAATTAATTTTATTTTATATATTTTTTTTTAATTTATTTGATATTTTAAATTCATTGATCTTTATGTTTAACAAATAAAAAGGGGAAGAAGGGAGTGACCCTATTGAAATTATTTTTTTTTCATTATAAAAAAATATTGTACAAATGGTTTAAACCATTGAAATTTTTTTTAAATTTATTTAAATAATTTTATTATATATTTTTTTTTTTTTTAATTTTTTTCTCCCTTTCGGAATTATTTGTTTTTTATTTTAAAAAAATATTTGTACAAATGGTTTAAGCCATTAAAATTTTTTTTTCAAATTTTTATCAATTAATATTATTTTGTATGTTTTTTACTAATCTATTTAATATTTCAAAACTCATATTTCTGCCTTTTATGATTTCACTCCCTTTCGGAATTATTGGTTTTTTATCTTAAAAAATATTTGTGCAAATGGCTTAAACCATTTTTTTTATCTTCATTTCAGCAGTGCCCCTCGTATACTCGTATACTGCTTGGTTTGTTTGCATCTTTTTTCGGTAATTAAAAGTAAAATTATGCATCTGATTTACTTCTGATGACTTAAATTAATTAAAATTAATGCTAAATTTTATTTTTGCAAGCACAAGTCACAAAACTCATAAAAGTCACAAGCGTATGCCAATTTGATAAAAACTATCGACCGTCAAATGAAAGAGCCGAGCCACGATATTTTTAAGATACTCAGACGCAAGCCAGAAGAGGAAGCTTCATTTGTTCCACTTTCATGCAAATTTAAAAAATGTTAAATTTAAATAAGCCGATCGTGAAGTGGCCAATAAAATGATTGTTTTCCTCTTATTGTGTGATTCAGATTTGAATTTCTTCAGCTTAGCCGATTAAGTGCCGCTCGATGGGAAAAATATTTAAAAGACTTTTGTTAACAAAGAAAGTTATAAAAGCGTCATTATGAGTGAAAGAAGAAATGCGAATTTTTGCTGAATTTATATGAGAATATTTATATTTTTAGTCGTTTTGGTGGCATCACTTATCGGAGTTATAAATTGGTGCGAACCGCACAAAGTATAAGAACGACCAATCCGGCCCATTAACTGAACATTTTGGCTGAGTTCGTGCTTGAGCTCAGTTGTCAACAAATTTACAGAAATCTGTTAATTTTAAAATAAACTTCATAAGTGAAATTATAAAATTAGAGATTCGAAGTGACATGAAATACTTTATTATAACAATTTGCTGTCTTGTGTTAGGCATACAAGCGGCTTATATCTATGAGAAACCAGCAGACTTGGGTCAAAATGAGTCTACAATTGCTGAGAATTTCGAACAAGTTATTGCCTCCTACGATGGTGGCGCTGAGGTAAAGGCTGGCAAAGGGTCAAGAAATCAATGTGAAACCAACAAGTGCTGTAAGTCGTACATCATTTCAAAGTATTTAATTAATGTTTTTGAGTAAATTTTATTTATAATATTTTTTAAATTTTCTTTTTAATTTATAAAATTTTTTTATTCAATTTTTTTCTTTTTTGATCTATTACAGTTTGTGGTACGCCAAATGTTAATCGCATTGTCGGTGGCACACAAGTGCGTCAAAACAAATACCCCTGGACAGCTCAATTAGTCAAAGGTCGTTATTATCCGCGTCTATTTTGTGGTGGTTCTCTGATTAATGATCGTTACGTTCTGACAGCAGCACATTGTGTTCAAAATAATCGTGATCAGATTACTATACGTTTATTGCAATTGGACAGATCATCTCGCGATCCCGGTATTACCAGAAAGGTGAGTACTACTATATTAAATAGTTTCTTAAAATAATTGGAATATTTATTAATCATAAGTGTAGTAAGATTTGTTATAATTTTTTTCTGCTTATTAAATTTAAACAAACAGCAAAGTTTAAATTACAACAACTAGTCACATAAACTAACATGAGGTTTTTTCATTCAATATTACAAATAATATTACTTAGCTAAAGTGAGCAGATAGATCTGAGGTACTCATCTTCTTAATGGTTGAAACGCCTCAAAAGGTCCTTTAGTTTGAAGCAACTTAAGCGTCTGTGTGAAAAATTACAAAGTAATGCCGGAATAGTGTTGACTCAGGCTGTCATAATGTGTATTTGCAGAATTCTATAATTCTTGCCTGACAGTAGGTATTTTAATCTCTGGAAGCGTTTAATGTATCCATAAGTGCTTTGTTTTGGAACCTTTGTGTTATATCTATTATATGATTTTTTACACAACCCCAAATTTGAACGACATAGAGCCGTATAGACAAACCTTGTAGCTGTATAAGGCTTCTTTGTAAATCATGAGTTTGTTTTGCTGCGATACTTTGGATTTCATTCCAATAAACCAAGTTAGTTTTTTGGATCTAATATTCAGCTCAGTTAGTTTTCTCATGATGATATCGTCCATCTCAATTTAGTATCTAAATTCGTACCCAGATATTTCGCAGAATTAGCAACTAGAATTTTTACACTGTTTAGAAGTAATGTTATTTGAATGTCGTGGTAAGATTTTTAACTATTTATTGTCAGTTTTCTGTTTATTCAGTTTCAGTTTATTAGTTCATTGTTCAACTTCTTTAAGAGCGGTTTGTAGCTTGGTGATAGACACCATGTTGTTTGGACCTGTAACAATTATTATCATTATTATTACTATTACTGTAGCATCTACAAAAGTTCCAACAATACACTTTGAGTTCACTGGCAAGTCATATGTGTACAACAGGGATCTCGCAATTTATGGGATAAGATTTGTTTATGGAATATCCATCATCAGTGATCTTCGAATTATTTATTGTATTTAATTATTCGTAAATAATTTTTTAAGACTGCAAGTACCAAGGATTGACTAGTGCCCTGCCAAATTAGTCTAGAATATATCAACATCAATTCCTGTCAATTGTTTCGTTGAAGCATAGGTTCTTTTGCAATATATAGTGAATCTTTATATTGACTAAACTTAATTCAAAACATTCAAGTGTACTCTTTGACAATTTAAGTCATTATCTCATATTTGAATTCTACAAGAATTAAATTTAAAAAAAAATTGATTTTGGTTAAGTGAAACATACTTGTGTCTTGCACCCGCTTTTCAAAAGATACATTTAGATACATATTCCTACGGGTACCTGCTGAAGGCTTCAACTAAGCTAGTTTGTAATAATGTTGAAAAAAGTTTTCTTTTAAATCTAACACTAAACAATTTCATCCATTTCGCATGAAAAATTGTCAGCAAAATCAATGTATGAAAAATGTTCCACAAATGTTTGGACATTGTAAAAATTTTTATAATATTAAATTTTATGTCAATTTTTCATGCGATATAGATGTTAGTATAAGGCTTTAAAAAGACTTGGTGTTCTTTAAGTGTGACCAACGTTATTAAGAAAATTAATTTATAAAATGGTTTGATTTTTGAAAACATTTTAATGATATTAAATACTAACAAGATTTAGTATCGTTTTTTTTTATTTAATTTCTTTAAAAATTTGAGAGTTGTATAGTCTATCATTCGAACAAGTATAATATATGTGGGTATTATATATTAATCAGTATAAAGTTGTAAATTTTAAATTAATTTTATAATAATCAATATTAATATAATATTCTCATCTTATTCTTAATGTTTATAATTCTCATAAAACAATATAATTCTTAATGTAATTCCCAATATAACTCTCATTATGTTGAAACGTTCCTAACTATAAATAAGGACTTAGTATTACCATGTACTGTGAAAATTTTAATATAAAATTAACTGTTAAAATAAAGTTTTAGATGATGTATTTCTGTACCGATAACGACGTTTTAATTTTTTTATATTCTCAGTATTTTTTTTTGATTCATTTATTCAATTAATGATTGAATTTCAAGGAGTGCGGAATTAGTGTCCCGCTCTCCTTTTATGTTGTTAAAAATATTCAAAATTTTAAAAAAGTGTTCAATTTGAGTATTTAAAATAACACTTCTGTCATATTAATAAAGCAGTACATATGAGTTTTTTAATACTACCATTTTATTTATAAAAATTATTTTCTTCAATTTTAAATATTGTAACAAACAAAAGTTGCCTAAAAAAGCGTTGTTTTAAATTATATTTTCTCTTCTGTAGTTAAAAAATCAGTGCTTTATAAAACTGTTATATTGTATCGTAACTGTTATCTCCACTCTTATAAATCAATCTTCCACAACTTGATCACTCACCGCAGACACGATTTTCCTCTATGCCCCTTTTCTCCAACTGCCACATGAAACACCTTTTCTGATGTAATGTCGTCCTCTATCATCATAATATAAGTATCAACCAAAGGATAGTGGGATAATGTAAGATGAAAAATCACACTTTACATGTATATTATTTAGTTGTACCTTATATACTCAAGCAATATATAAGTAAATCCCATTCATTTATATTAAAATCATTAATATAAAAAATTGAACAAAGCCAATATCTGTATATCCTTGTTTCGTATCAAATTGAAGGTTTATGGCCTTTCAATATATTTAAAAGTAAATAATTAAATATTTTTCTTTCAGGTCATTCAAACAATTATTCATCCATCCTATGATCAAACCAGAATAGTTAATGATATTGCTTTATTGAAATTGGATTCACCGATACCGCTTACAAGCACTGTACGCCCAGTCTGCCTACCTACTGCAAGCCACAATTTTGACAATCGAGATGTAAGTACTTTAGATTAAAAACTAAAATTATATTTGGGATCTTACATAAACATATATTCTATTATATATATGTGTACGAGTACATCACAAAATAAATAATTGTATGTTATTCAGGCTATTGTTGCAGGCTGGGGTTTAGTTAAGGAAGGTGGCGTTACATCAAACTTCTTACAGGAGGCCACAGTACCCATTATAAGTAACCAACAATGCCGTGCTACCCGTTATAAAGATAAGATTGCTGAGGTTATGCTATGTGCTGGATTAGTAAAGCAAGGCGGCAAAGACGCTTGCCAGGGCGATAGTGGCGGACCGCTTATTGTCAATGAGGGCCGATTTAAATTAGCGGGTTAGTAATTTTGTTATATTGCTTTGAGAAAGGGTCATAAAGTATATATATATTCTTTCGCAGGTGTTGTGTCATTTGGATTTGGATGCGCTCAACCTAATGCACCTGGTGTCTATACACGTGTGAGCAAGTTCGTTGACTGGATTCAACGAAATACTCGTGATGGCTGTTATTGTAGCTCATAAATTATAAAAACTCCACTGAATCATGTTTCAATAAAATTATATCATTTGGCATTATCCAAATCGACATCATGTACTATAGTTGTTTTAATTTTAAATTGTGATTAAAGTAGATATATTTTGTTCAGAATTAGATACATTATCTACATTATTTGTGTATTTCACATTTATTCTTATATTTCTGAACATCATTAAAATATATTACTTTTCGGAAAGTATATATAAAATTTACCTGATTTATATATATTAAATCTGGAGTGAAGGCTGGCATTCGTACTTTTTATATTATATTATTAAAAAGTCAAGTTCTAAAAAAAGTTCAGTATAAAAACTTCTAATGAAATTAATTGTCTTTTATAGATAGGTAAGGTAAAAATAGATACTATTTTACTTACTAGTTTTGCAACCGGAAAGAATGTGAGGACATTACACACTTTCTGGCCAATTGCCCTATTTCACGAGAATTAAGAAAATTACGAGGATGTTCTAAATAAAAGAAACTAATATGTTTTGGTCGGATGTATAATAGAGGCATTAAAATAAAGAATCAAGATTAAAAATGAATTATTTTAAAATTTATAATAAATTATAATAAATATTCAAATTATTGTATAGCACCAGCAATCGGCTAACGTCATGCCAATATGCTGTGAAATATATAGAATACAATAATTTTATAAATTAGTGTCACGTATTGACTATAAGAATTATATTATAAATTATAGTTATGACATAGTATTAAGCCCCATGGAACAAATTCTGGTACTTTCGGTTTGAACTATTATATATATATTGTTTAAAAACAGATTGTTATACTTTATTTTAGAGGTAGTAGGAGTATTAGATACTTTTGGGATATGAAATACTAATAAGATTTGGTATTGTGCTTTTTTTTAATTTTTTTATAAATTTAAAAATAGGTTATTTTCGATTCGAGTTGATAATATTTTAATTATTTGTGTTTGTATAAAGCTTTAAATTTTGAAGTAATATTATTATAATCAATATTAATATAATATTCTGATCTTATTCTCATTGTTTATAATTCTTTAAATTGTTTATAATTCTTATTAAATAATATAATTCTTAATGTAATTCTCAATATAATTCTCATTATGTTGGAACGTTTTTAACTATAAATGCAGAGTTAATATTACCCAATAGTGATTTAATTTTAATATAAAAGTTACTGATGAAATGGGGTTGCAGATGATGTGTTTATTGCAAGTGTGATTAATTTTAAGTTGAACACTGAAATATACTATTATTACAATATATGAAAACTGAGATAGTTTTATAATACACACTTAACTGCCGATTTGATAATAAATTGATATATGTGTTATAATTCCACTATTAAATTTTATTTGATAATAAAGTGACAGAAAATAGCACTAAATGCCTTGTTATGTAGAAATTTTTAATGTGATTCTCAATATAATTCTCATTATGTTGAAACGTTATTAACTATAAATGCAGAGTTAGTATTACTCAATAGCGATTTAATTTTAATATGAAAGTTACTCATGAGATGAGGTTGCAGATGATGTGTTTATTGCAAGTGTGATCACTTTTAAGTTAAACGATACAAAAAAAATATTTTAAAATATGTAAAAACTGAAATAGTTTTAAAATACAAACTTAACTGCCGATTTAATACTAAATTGATATAGTATGTATTATAATTCTACCATTGAATTTTAATTGAGAATTAAGTGACAGAAAAAAGCATTAGTGTGCCACGTCAGTATCAGTATTTCGTATATTCACGATTTTTTGTGACTTTTTGGTTGTGTCTAAATTTAAAAGAAAATATAGGCGAGTTCACTTTCAATTTGCCACCAAAAATAACCGACAGGAAAAAACTCATGGAAACTTTAAAATAATTAATTTATTATTATATTCTTTTTTTTAAATTGTTAACAGTATTTACAAAATTATATGCTTTTCCTTAAAATCATAAAGTGTAATGATTAGATTATTATCGGGTTATAAAATAGGTTGTGTTGCTTCTTGACATTTTTTCTTCTAAACGTATTAAAATTGTTGTAATTTGCTCCTAAGAGGGGTTAAGTATGACATTTATTACTGAAAATCAGTGTTTGCTTTGCCTTAGTGGGGAGATGCAGATAGCCTTGGCTCTCATGACGTATTTTGAGTCGATATATTGTTTTTTTTCTGACTCTCGATTTTATAATTTGCAATGAAAGCAATTATTTAAAAATAATTTATATTTATTTTAATAATAAATATTTTATTTTTTAAATGATTTTACTCATTCCAAGTCGATAACACAGCACATTACATGGCCCTTAAGGATTACTTAAAAATTAGCAGCTGTGTGCAGATGTTAATATGAAAAACAGTTAAACTTCCACATTTTGAATTATCTATAACTCCAATTTTCTATAACTCAAATTAAATAGAGTGCAATAGGGTTTAGAGAGCAAATAACATATAATTACAACAAAATTCTTTAAGTCGAAGTCTCTATAAGTCGCACCTATTCTTTGCAAAATGGCACTTTCACTTACGGAAGTTTGACTGTAAATTGATTAAATAAATTTCTAATTATCTTCAACTAAATTATACTTGACATATTTGGATAGTTTATACATCATTAGACCTTATGAAAAGATTAAGGTTTGGGTTCATTATCAGTGATATGAACTTTAAATAAAATTTAAAGTGCAGACGTTGTTATCTGACATTATCTTGGTAAAAAATTTCTTGATACATCGGCAATAAAGAACAGCTTGAGCTAGTTACTGAGCTGAAGATTGCAAAATAGCATCACTTTAAATAAGTATATTATTTTTAAACACATTTTTCTATAATCATAGGTTACACAGAAGTAAGACTCAAGAATATCTGATTTATTGGCTTAGATAGAAAAATTAAAAAAATGTGGATATAAATAAGTAAATAAATGAAAACTATAATGGAAGGAAAAAAATCTTGAGTAATTTGAAAATTTGCAGTACAATTTAATATTGTTTCGGCTTAAGTATGTTGAATGCAATTTAGTTTTGCTCTAGTTAAGAGATTGCCTATAAACAGTCTATACAGCCACGCCAAGAAGCAAGAAGCCAGAGCCAGAAACGCATACCAGAATATGCCAATGAGATTAAGATCGCACGCTGAAAAAATGTGCACTCCAACAACGGACCGAGGAAAAATGCTGCGCTGCTGTCAATCATGCACAGCATAATTTGTTTTGACTCATTTCCATGCTGCATAATAAATTTATTTAAGCTCGGTGCATCCAACTCGCTGCAAGCGGCTTATGATTTTGACCAGGACGTTATAGGCCAACAACAATCTGTGGGTATGAACTGTAAATAGCGAATTTCAGGCTTGCAGTTAAACACGCGCATCTGCATATAATTGCCTATAGTCCCCACCTATTTGAGTACCAAAATGATCATACGACTGACGTATCATCTGACATTTGCCAGACTGCAGCATTGCAGCTTTGCAGCATTGCACCGTTCCAGCGTTGCAGCGTTGCAGCGTTCATAACTTATTCGCCATCCAATCACGGTGATTTACTATGTGAACACTTTATGGTTGTTTAAGTTGTTAAATTGAATTAAGATGAAATAAATTTTGCACAATTTTATGTTTGTTAATAAATTTTAAATGCTGTATGGTAATGAAAATTGTAATAAATTTTATTTATGAGGGAGTAATCATGTCCAAGAATTTAAATTAATTCCTATACAGGATTTTTCTAATATAGAACAATTTGTATAATAATGCGAGAGATTTTATCTATTTCCGGCAATACTTACAGGATTATAATCAAATCGAAGTGAAGAGCATATCGCGGCATAGATAAAAGTCAAATTATATTAAAAATATAACAAAAGATAATTAACACAAAATTTATAGTAATGTGATAAACGGTAACATAATAAGTTGACAGAATGGCGGAACGGTAGGCGGAACTACTTATCGATATAATAGTCGCTAACATTTTCATCAGTTTTTATAATCTATATCAGGTCTATCCAAATCACGGACAAGTCGCATGTGGCCCACGGCTAATGTTTATGCGGGCTGCGACATGATATTAATCTGTTATAATCACGCAAATTTTCTTGTTGTGTACTGGTTGAACTACATTATTTTATTTTTATGGTATAACAAATAAATAAATTTAAATTGATAAATTAAGAAATTTGATATTATAACCGCATTTCTATATTTGTCGAAAACAACCATAAATATATGTGTTTGTTTCTGCGGTCCTCCAATCTGTACAGTGATTTGTATTGGCCCGCGATCGCATCTAGTCCGGAAAGTCCTGATATATATCACTTTACCAATTTCTCAATCAATAAAAAAGTTATACTTTTTTCAATATATTTAAATATTATGTATTTTGTATCAAGGACGCGCACTGCAACTTAATAGTAGCAAAGCATTTAGATTATAGAAGGTAAATAGTCTGCCTCACTATTCGAATTATTTCATCATTAAGAAAGAAAATCTGTTTTCAATATATACAAATATTATAAACTTTATTGCACCAAAAACTCCCGAGAGCTTGCGAACGTTAGAGACATATGTAATTCAAGTCCTCAAAGTGAAAAAATTAGATATATAAAGGAAAAACAGAAACTAGGCTAATAAATAGTGCAGACACCAAGAAATGCGGTGAAAAAGTGGAGGACTGAACACCGATCCAAAATCATCAAAAAAGAAGAAATTAAAAAAAAAAATATACTATATATTTATATAGACGGACCTATTCTGTGCACTTTATAAACTTGTCAAAGGTTGACACTTGTCAAAATTGACTGCTGTAAAGGTTTTGGTATTCTGTGATTCTGTGACATAAATAAAAAGCTCTTTTCCTCTTTTCCTTAGTTGTTAATACTACAAATGCTGTTGACAACTATAAAAATATGCTCTTTTTAAGCATTTTTTATTTTTTGCATGCATGACAAATATTCTTAACTACAATATACGCTCTTCACAAGCATATTTTCTATTGTTATTTGAATGCATGAAAAATGCTTTTGGCAACTTAAAATATGTGCTCTTTACAAGCATTTTTTACGAACAGTT